GCCATTATTTGCCCAGAGAAATGTTGGTGTAATAGAGGGGTGTGGGGATAAATTGCAGGGAATGTATTGAAATATATTCATGGAAAACAAGGTGGCAAATGAAACGAGGGGCGCTATATCAAAGTTTTGCTGTATTTACCTTTAGCAGGCAGTCATTTTCATTTACTTTTCCATGATATGGGTTGTTTTGCTTGTGTGATAGTGCTAGCTGTGCATAGGCCATATCCCGGACCAATCCATATACCGCAGGCACGCATCATATCTGTTAAACTTACATTTTTCAGAAAATCATCGGTACTCACTGTACACATTGCATGTGTGGCTGGTATGCCTGCATGGAGTCTTGATACAGAGTAGGATATGGAAATGGTCATGTGATAACCTCTTAATATTTCCTGAACAGAATAGTATTCAAAAATTGTTTCAATTTGGGACTCAAAATTATTTTATATTAGAAGCTAAATGTTACATACTTAACACATTTAACAGAGGATGAGTGTTTGAGAGTGGTTTCAGCTCAACTGAATCTGTTATATGTACAGTAAGATGTAACAATCCCAGTGTTATAAGGCACCTATTTCAACAAGTCCAATGCGAACTCAACTGACTTGACAGCATACCAACCGTTCATGGAGCTGATGTGACATTTGTTCGGTTAAATTTGTCACTTGGGTTTTGATATCAGCTCATGTTGAAGGTTGATGACCAGAGCTGCTGGCTCTACAGTTCCTATTCACGCTAATTGTGCAATTTATCTCCTCAGTAGGTTGTTGTATGTTGGAAATTAGGTCATACATCACAAAACATATTGGCCGTGTAACGATTTTATACCACACTTATAGGTTGGTCATTGGATGTGTTATGGGGAGATCTTGGGGAAGAATACAGGATTGTGGCTAGTAGGACACATTGCAGGATCCCCGTACCACTGCCAAAAACTGGGACAATGCATTGGAAACATTTTCTGGCATGACCTGATAGCTATGGTTACTCATTGCTGAAAAGAAACCAATTACCTTGCAGGACTTTTATGAAAAAGAATAAAGATGAAATAAAGAAGATTTATTACATTTTTGCCAGTGAAGTATCGGATTCTATCAACTTGATAAAACTGATATTTTTCATCCTGTGACAAATATCAAACGTGATATTTTAACAGGGTTAAAATATCACTTTTTGGTATTGACCAATCGTAGCGGTATCTTCTATTCGCTGCATTCAAAGGCAATTTTTTTTGGTTTAGATTCATACGAAGCGACGGTAGAATAAATGGTTGTTATGGTAAATGTTTGGTACACACACATAACATAAATATGCAATTAATTACATTTTTATAAGCAATCATACCCATGGGTAACCCATTCAAAATGGCGCATAGTCTTGTTGTCAAGCGTGACGTCATTAGAATATGGTGCTAATTTAATAAGTACGCTTCTGATTCCCGCCCTTTTATGATGCATTACATTTTTCATGTTTTATGCTTTAAAAATGTAATAAATAGAAAATTTAATGGTGTTTCCAGTAATAACAAACATATTTCACTCCTGTAGCTAATATTTTGATATTTATCACCTCTATATAATCAACAACAGTGTTCTGGGTATAAAAAAATGCAGTAAGGCCAGACCAGGTTTTAAACCAGGCTGGACACCTGGGCCCGTATTCATGATACCGTTCCCATGCTCAAGTATGGATTCTGTGCTCAAACCATCTTTCTTGTAACCCACCTAAATCATGTCAACAATCAAAAAGTCAAATTTAAATATTGAAAACAGTATTCGGCTTCAAGTTTCTTCAATTTTTGTCCAAAACTTTAACAAAACAAAGATTTTTAAATAATTTATAACTGGAACAAGAAATTAGACTTGAGCTCAAAATCCATGCTTGAGCATGAGAACGGTTTCATGAATACAAGCCCTGGTCATGATCATTATACTATCACTCTACCAACTGAGCTACCTGGACACTGGTAGTACCCTGGCCCAGTCACACTTCACTAACAGTTACAGTATCAAAATAAAATTAGGGAAACTTACTGAATGCACTAGGATCCCTGCCTCACTGCACGCAACATACCAGAGAATACCATTGTATTCTGGTGTAATAATATATTGGATAAGAATAAAGTATAGCTTTTTTAGAGGGATATATCGAAAACTAACTGATGATATTTAAGTCATTTGCAAAGTTTTACAGGCACATGCATTTATAAAACTACAAAAGTGCCTATTGTATATCTGATAATGAACACACAGATTTGATGAATAAGGCTTTTTTTCACCCTCATAATAACTTGATACATTGTACATTAACACGAAAAATAGCATGTGTTCAACAATAATGTAAAACAGCTTACAGTTCTACATTGCTTTTACCTAGATAGATGGACAGGGAAATTTCTACAGTAAAAAAATAAAGTTATCTTGTGAAATTCCCTAGGCGTGCCTGTCTTGATCACATATAGATACATTAAGGGCAATAGCACATTTTCTCAATACAAGTTTCTGTCCTTTCTGTACTCTTAAAGCTGATTCATGTGACTTGTGCATGACATCTCGTTAAATCGGTCAACATGAAAATTGTTTGAAGTTATTGAGATGAAAATTTATGTATTCATTAAATTTAATCTTTTAATTTGGGCTAGTTCAATTGCTGTGATTCCAACAGATCACTTGGTCCCTACAGATTACAATCAGATCTTATGTGAATACCAATTGCATAATAGGAAAATTGCGTGACAAGCAACATGCAACACTTCAGCAGCAGGTCTCATTTCCCGTAGTCTGGCATTCATATGCCTTTTGTAGTGATTGACATCTCAAAGATCTTTGATGCATCTTTTTGTGTTTGGACTTGTATGTAATCATTGAGCAATGTAACCATGCAACATTTGTATTGAACTTATCTGATCTCAAGATAATTTTAGTTAACATGCTGTACTTTCAATTAAAGACAGACATGTATATTCAAACACAATCTGGAAAGAGGCTTATGATGATGAATTTGATTTGGCCAGTAACATGCTGGGATGAAGGGCTATGAAGTTTGTTCAAATAAATGACCTTGATCTACTGTAAAGGTCACAAGGGTCAAAATGTGTTTATGCTTTTCTAGTAAAAAAAAACAGATTCAGAAGTTGAAGATTAACAAAATCTTCCAACAAAGACCCATATTGCATAGATATTGACAATTAGCTTATTTGAACAAATCTGAAGTCATACAGGCAAATAGTATGCTGAGATGAAAAGCTATCAAGTTTGTTTCAACAAACTACCTTGATCCATTTTAGGGTCACAGGGGTCAAATGTGTAAAAACTTTTTCTAAGACAAGTTTTTCTGAAAAACGAAAAGTCATGATAATAGGCTTATATCTTAACCCATTCACCCCTGAAGACACATTTTAACTCTTCCAATTCAAAGGTTGGAATAGTTCATTACAAAATTTCAGGGGTGAATGAGTTAATGGTGTAAAATGCTATGAATTTTGGGATCTCAATGAATGACCTAGTACAAGGTCGAAGGCCAGATTTTTCAAGATTTGTAAAAAAACTTCCAACCCAGAATCAGAAAATGGTGAAGGGTAATAAAACCTTCTAAAGACCCATATGTTGCATAAAATATTGACAATAAGCCTTTTTTGTTTTAAATCTGACCTTGACCCTCATTTGATGTCACAAATGAAAGACAAACAACAGAGGAGCGATACAGACCCATCTTGTTATCTTCTTAGACTCCAGTGTCATACTAATAACCTGAACTAGCCGGTAAATGGCCATTGCTTTTTGGTTGGTGTATGCCATGCCAATTGAATTTTTGACAAAATGCATGGACAGATATGATCAGAGATTGAAAGTCATGTATGATTGCCAAAAATATATTTTAAAACGTTCCATTTCTCTTCATAATTCATGGAGCTGTCAAAACCAAGCTTTGTTGTGAGTAGATATGGAACTTGTTGATCTGAAGTACTGTTAGAGTGTTGGTATAATGTTTTGTGATATTCCTAGCCGGGCCGTTACTATACTTAGCCCAGTAGGTATGGCTTCTAAAGGTTGTTGCTCAGCCTCCACAGAAGGACGTGATGCTAAACACGTATAAATCAGGATTTCTGCACTTCGCTGGTGTCTGAAAAGTACAGATTGTACGTCACTTCTTCTGACAGAATAAGATTAATAGTTTTTTTACCCTCGTCTCTTGCAGCATCATCTGTATCAGCTGATACTGGTATTCCAACGTATCTTTATCAACATTGTACAATCTCTGTCGTATATAGTGAAGTTTTGGATCAATCTCGGTCTGATAGAAGTTTTATCATAAATAACCACTCTCTAGACTCTCGAGTTTTGTCTGTTAGGAAGTTTTATTGCACAAATGCAATATTTTAATCTTTATAAATAAAAAGTATTAAACATTTATCAAATTTAAAATGTTATTCCATTGGAAAAGTGTGAAGTTGTAAATCACACACAAGCATTATAACATGTTGGTTTGTATGTACACACTAGCTTACATGATTGACTCGGCAGAGACTCCGAGATTCAACTTACTATTCTATGATGAATATACAAACAATTCAGACAGATACCTATCTAATGGAACATCAAATGGGGAGGCTCAGCAAATTTAATCCAGTTAAATTGCTTCAGACAACATCAAATGGGGATGCTCAGCAAATTGAATCCAGTTAAATTGCTTCAGACAACATCAAATGGGGAGTCTCAGCAAATCTAATCCAGTTAAATAAAGCAATTTAACTGAATGAAATTTGCCAATACTCCCCATTTGATGTTATCTGATCATCTCTTCTTTTGAATTTCTATTACTCTTAGATGGCCGGTGTAGTGAATTCCATTTAAGTATCCATCATTTGGGGTACACAGAGCTACACTGAACATCCACTAGCAGGCGTTGGATCTCATTCTTCCTTGTATTATCTAATGGAAGTTAAGCTTTGTATTTTAAAAAACATGGTTTATGACAAAAAATACCTTTCATTGCAGGTTCAATCCTCCATGCAATGACCAAAACAAGAATACAGACAGCAGATGTCAACAGGGGCGGGACCCAGCTCAAAATGACCTTCACCATGGACGATGGCCAAAGACTTATCTTCAAACCTAAATGGTAAATGTGGCCCCTATATGGTGCTTTCTAATGAACAGAACCTGTTAGTGTAATTCTAATACCAGAACTGAGAATAGCATCGTTCAGGATGACACTTATAAACAGCATACAGAGCGTTCATGAAACCTTTGGGAGTAGGTTTTGAGCTTGGATTCCTGGATTTTAAAGAACATTTCTATTTGACATATGTTTGAACTCTACCAAATTCAGGTAAAATACTATTTGACTTCAGAAATTGCTAAATGTGAAGGGTCATCTGAAAGCCCTGCTACTTGACCTGGCATATCTGTTAACCTTTAATCATTAGGACGGGAGAGTCCCTCATTTTGACCAAAATTTAACAATCTCCCTCGAAACTCCATCATTCAAGTCCAAACTCACAATACCTCAAAATCTACATTCTGTGGTCAAATGATCTCCTAGTTACTGAAGGGTGTGTTTAATGATCATAACAAGTGAGCCTGAATCAAATGAATGCTCTTTGGAGTTATTTTGTTACATAGAAGTAGAAAGATGAATTTAGCAAAGCAGTTTCTGTCGCGTATCACACACTTTCTTCCTCATTGGAAATGTGGAATGATGGTGATCTCCCCCATTGGAGGTTTCAGAGGTTGACACCTAAAATTAAATCAGGTTTTGAACATGTTTTGTTGTATACAGATGTTGCTAGGTAACAGTATGTGGTTGGAGTACAATGAAGCTGTGTTTTATACAGGTATTCCAGGGAGAAGATCCTCAGCAATGGTCCATACGAAGGCGCGGACAGACACAATGGCGAGTTAGCAGCCTTCCACATAGGACGGTTAGTGAGTCACTAACTTACAAAACATAGCATTGCAATTGGAGTTATTCCCCTTAGTACGGTCCAAGCTAAAAATTGCCATAATATGCAAATGGAGAACGTCTTAATCTAAACGTAGGATTGAGTCTTGCACAATAATTTGTTACTTTTTATTCTGTAAATGTAACTAACACGTTTGTACCTTTAAAAGTAACAAAAACATGTAGGGCAAATGATTAATTTGTGGTCTAACAAATATTGGGCTTTTAATTAGTCCCCCATTGGTTCCAGGCGGGGGGGGACTATAGGTTTGCACTCTGTCTGTCCGTCCTCCCGTCTGAGAAGTTTGTCCGGGACATATCTTCTATACTATTTCACCTGAAGTAACCAGATTTGGTGTACAAGGACATCATGGGATGACAGAGTGAAGAGTGCTAGAAGAAGGTCACTATGACCTCACTGTGACCTATGATCTGATCTTTGACCTTAACTTTCGAAAAAGTTTGTCCGAGGCTGTTACCTATACAGCATGTATGTATATACACCTGGTCATTGTTAGATCATTTTGATTGACAGGTGGAAATCTGTCAGTTGTAGCTTGGTCAATGATTTATACTGAAAATTATCATGTAGGAGATGGGGTGACTTTCATGTCATTTTGACATATTTCTAGTTTTCAATATTTTTCTGAGCAATTCAATTTGATTTCAAGAAATGGAACTTTTAAGACAGCTTAAGAAGGTCTTGAACTTTTGCTTTCCAGAAAAATTGATAAAACTTCCATTTAAATTACTATGATAAGGGTGTGATTTGTTACAGATTATTGGAGTTAAACCGAACTCCTTTAGTGATTGGCCGAAGGATCAACCTTAGAACGGAAATCTTGCCACATGCCACTAGCAGACTCAAGAAAACTTTTTTCACCAAAGGTTAGTATCTCTGTAAGTATGTGTATGTAACAGGAGAAAGGGAAATGTAATGGCCAGACCAGGGTTCGACTCCGGGATCCTCCGAACTCTAGACGGACGCTCTACCAATTGAGCTACCTGGTCTGCTACGATCGACCCAGTCCAGTTCCGCTACACTCCTCCCTCCTTTTTCTAAGTCTTTGCCCGAAGACACAACTATTTGCAAATTCGGGTATCCCCTTGATAAGTGTACTTCAAATGCTTGAAACAAGTGTTGGCAGGCTCGCCATTTTTGTAACAGGAGAAAGAGAAAATGTAACGGCCAGACCGGGGTTCAAAGGCGGAACCCTCCGAAATCTAATGACGCTCTATCAATTGAGCTACCTGGTCGCTGACGATCGACCAAGTCCAGTTCCGCTACATGCAATCTAGAATACAGTTAATGCAATTACTTAATTTATGTTGGAACTTGGATCATGACAGCTCCGATTTTTCAAAAAATAGTTAAATGTCACAAGTGAACATTGTTAATCCAGTAATGGATGACAAGTTTCTTTTCTATGATGGGTTTTGTAATGGAACAAATGTCAAATGATTATAACATTTAAAATAATGGTGTATTTTGTCACTACTGATGTCTTATTATGTTTGATAGCATCGGGAGCTGTGCAGATTTTGGGACAGACAAAAATCTGCTGTATCCCACTGCATGTACAATGAAGGCAACTAAAATAGGCCGGCTTCCTTCTGTGTCTCTGCTTAGAAGACATCCAGTATAACAGCATAGTTGATTGGCTAGCTGCCCTATTGCAACTCATGGAACATCTGTTATTTCTTTTCTTTCTCACTCTTCTTTTGTTGGCGTTGTATCCCCAGGCACCGATCTTTGTATGACTTCAGCTGTTGCAAGGAAGTAAAACCTTAAAAAAATATATGTTTTGAATGGTGAGCACAGATCAGAGAGAGAAATGGGAGGGGAAGACCACCTTATTGATTGTGTTTCTTCATTGCAGGGAACAACACCTGTTTTTATGGAATGTGTTACTACTGTAAGGATGAGTCGACAGGTGTGTGTGGGGATGGCGACGTGCTGGAGGGAGTCGTCATACTTTGGCTACCGCCGACTTACCAACTGTCCAATCACAACCATCCCTGGAGGCGGACCTACAGAAGCTACAAGGCCAAGTGGGTGTTCATTTATACGAAAAGTTATACACGTCTACAATAAATACTGTTAAAATTGTCCTACCAGTAATTTCAGAGGACCTTGTAGAAAGAGCGTCCACAAGAGATCTCAAAACATTCACAATAAATCTGTATCTTTTATACATGTATAAATCACCTGTTATGTTTTACATAATTGTTGCGTGTCCACATCACTAGAGTTTCTAGACTGATAAGGATATTGTAATTAAATAGAGTAATCTTCGGGATTCTGTCTCCTCAAGGTCAAGGTCACCATTAGCTTTTAACAATAAAGTCTATTTTCTCTTGTTCATACACCTTGTCCGTGCAGGCCTTGTATTGTGTGTAGACAATATTATGTATCTGTAACCCATTTTACTCATTATCTGTGTTGCATACCATATCCTAAAAGTCAAGGTCACTTAAAGTGTTCAAATTTCAAATCGTCATTGTGATATCTTCTGTTTACCAAACTCATGTGTTCAATGAATGAGTTCTCGTTATTTATTCAACTGCTTGTACCAAGCACCACGTACCATGGTACCATGATGATTGACATTTCAATTTGTTTTTATCAATAATTAAAAAGAACTACTAGACTGCATCTACCGTACCATACAAGTCCTAAAATTGGTTTGACATGATATTTGACATACCAATCATCCCTCCTATTGCTAGAGTTACATTGGCCAGGAGTATGATGTAAACATGTACCAGACCATCAATACCCGTCTAATTAAACAACGGTTCAGTGAGTCCATTGGATCAGCTGCCTTGTTTAAATATTGATGAACAATTCATTGCATCAGGAACATTACTGAAATTACCAAAAACACAAACCAGCTGTCTGTGATCTGTTATGCTGTGTACCAGTATGAGACACAGGTCTTTTTAATTTTTGAGTGGAGCATTATCAATAGACTTTGGTTATTTTTTAGGGTTGTCAACGGTTAACTATAGCTAACCGGTTACTCGGTAGGAAGACTGTGAACTGGTTACAAAAATCAGTAACTGAAAAGTCAGACATTTATTTAGCTCCATGAGAAGCTACATGATAACCTAACTTATACCTACAAATTCTCTATCGATGAGACCGAAATTGGATTATTTTGGCAATAAAACAACGCTCAGGCTGGCCTGTTAGGGTGGTGTTTTTGTATTTGATAGCAAGGATTGACAAAGAGATGCCAACAACACCATAAAAAGCCTGAACAGATATTAAAAGGTAGCCAGAATGCAAAGCTGTGATATACCATTTGATGTCATACACTTCGTCTTGTATACAAAGGTCATACACTGTGGTTCTGTATACAGAGGTCATACACTGTGGTCCTGTATATAGAGGTCATACACTGTGGTTCTGTGTACAGAGGTCATACACTGTGGTTCTGTATACAGAGGTCATACACTGTGGTTCTG